TTTCATTGTGCCGCTACTGTATTTGGAGGGATCTTCAAATGCATCAAGGCATCAACCCCTGTTCCACACGGTGTCCTCTGTTCAAGGCGCTCTTTGCCGGTATCTCTCCTAATCCCTGGAGTTTGGAAGTTCTGAACCCTTGATTGCTGGACGTCTTAATCCCAGAGCACCTCACAATACTTGTGCAGCGAACTTTACGCCTCGAGCTTGGGACGTAAGCCAGGATGGGTTGGGTGTATGCGCAGCACAAACTTGGGCAGACATAGGATTACCCACCAGTACACCTAATTTTCTTGGAGGAGTTTGCAGGCCAGCTTGCCATCCCCTGCGGGGGGAGAAGTCGGAAGCGTCAAGCCCTACGCACCCCCCCCCCGGAGCCCGAAACTGCTCCATCCCTCCATGTTGCGCCCATCAGCAGGAAACCACCCTAGCCCATTCGCCGTCGAACCGCAGGAGCTAGAAGAAGGCGAAGACCAGCCAGCAGGGGGTTGGTGCGCTCGTCGAAGGAACGCCACGGAGGACGCCATTGGTTTCGGCATAAAGGAAAGTTACGCATTCGTAGCATGCTATGAAGGTGTGTATTGGGGTTTGTGCCGGATATGATAGAAGATGGTGAAACCTAGGACCGCCACAGACGGGTTCATCACCCGTAAATGTTCAAACCCAGTCGGGTAAGCGGAAACGCTGCCAACACCGGACTAAGACATGACTGCAGCTTCGAAGCGGCAGGAGGGCGGCGAAGAACAGCCCGCAGAAGGCTGGTGTACTCGCCGGAGATCTTCACCGGAGGACGGCTGCAGCTTGATGTCTCTATAGGGCGTACGTAACACGTGATTTGTGGGCTTATTGCTTTTCATTGTGCCGCTACTGTATTTGGAGGGATCTTCAAATGCATCAAGGCATCAACCCCTGTTCCACACGGTGTCCTCTGTTCAAGGCGCTCTTTGCCGGTATCTCTCCTAATCCCTGGAGTTTGGAAGTTCTGAACCCTTGATTGCTGGACGTCTTAATCCCAGAGCACCTCACAATACTTGTGCAGCGAACTTTACGCCTGGAGCTTGGGAGGTAAGCCAGGATGGGTTGGGTGTATGCACAGCACAAACTTGGGCAGACCTAGGATTACCCACCAGTACACCTAATTTTTCTTGGAGGAGTTTGCAGGCCAGCTTGCCATCCCCTGCGGGGGGAGAAGTCGGAAGCGTCAAGCCC